TGTCTTGTTTCATTGTTATCTCTTAGAAGTAAGGGGATGGATCTGGAAGGGAGGGGAGGTGGAGAGGAACTGGGAGGAACAGAGTGGGGAACCATAATTAGGATATATTGTATGAGAAAAGAAGCTATTTTAAATAAACAATCCCTAGAGAATGACAAAGGGGGCGCTAGGGAGCTTTGTCAGAGATGACAGGGCTGAAGGCAGAACTCCCAGAAGGGAAGTAATTTCTCATAGTCATCTATAGCCTGCAATTGAACTGTTTTACCTTCTTATTAAGTCCCAGGATTTAACTCCTGCTCCTGAACAACTCAAGTGTATATATTTGCTTCATTGTATGTTGTGCTTATTTAAGGCTCCCAAGAAATTACCACTCATACATCTTTCATGCATTCTTGTTTTGTGAACAGTGTTTATATATTACATGTATTTGTGATTTTACTGGAAATTGTGATTTTAAAGGAAAATTACATGCATCAAACCCAACACTATTGTTAAGTCACATGAGGCTTAAATCGCAAAAGAAAAAAGATACAAATAGATTGCTATGCCTTCCAGGTTACATATTTTACTTTCAATTAAAAAATGTAAAAATTACTGTCTTAAAAAAAAGGTATGCAGAATAAAAAGAGGAACATAAATTGATCTCTACCATACTGACAAAAGTTAAAAACAATAACTTTCAATGTGAAGAATAAAATATGCACCTATGGCAATGGTAGACATTGTTATTTGCTTCTGAGTATCTGTTCCACAAAACATGGGCTTTTGTTTCTTTTCATATGGCTTTGAATCTGAAATAGTCCTTGAAGGCTCAGGTTTGGTTGCCATTTGATGGGCTTTCAGCAGGTGATTGGACCATGAGGGCTCCAACTTCATCAATGGACTGCCTAATGATGAAATCTAATCTGAATGGACTATTAGGAGGTGGGGCTGAGTTGGAAGAAGGTCAACTGAGTGGGTGCTATTATCTTGTCCTTTATCCCTTTCCCTCTCTGCTCCTCAGCTGCCATGAGGGGGACAGTACTGCTCCACCAGATCCAAACAATGGAGAGCAATGACCTCAGCTGATCATGAACTGAAGTTTCTGAAGCCATGAACAAAAATAAATCTTGCCTTCTGTGAGTTGTTTTCTCAAATATTCTGGCATGAAAATGAAAAGATAACTAACAGGCTTTATTTGTCTTCAGGTCTACATCTCTGGATGCTAAAGAACAGAAGCTAGTATGTGGCAGTATTGCAAAGGTATTTACTGAGTGGATTCATAGCCTCCTTGTGAATCCATACATCAATTTTTAAAAAGGAATAATTTGAACATAATTAATAATCTTGGTTTAATAACTATGTAGATACTTTGATGATGAAAACACAAAATGAACATTCTTTCCAAAGAAATGAGGCATAGTCAACAATAATGATGAATTAGACCCCAAAGAATATGTATGTAGTCTATCTCTCTCCCTCTGTCCCTATGCATGAGTGCATATATATTCATATATATATGAAAAAGTATGAACACAGGCTTTTCTCTTGAAACATGATCTCACTGTGTAGTCTTTACTACTCCGAAACTTGCTATATAAGCCATGCAGGCCTCAAACTCCTGAATGCTGGGGTTAAAGAAGGGTACCACCATGCCCACCTAAAACAACACACTTTTGAACTGACTCCTGGAATATCAGTACTCATTACCTGAGTGGGGCTGGGTTTGTGAAAAATAGGTTTGGGGGGGGGGGCGACAAATGTTTCTTTCACTTTTTACTCCATACCTTTGAATTATTCTATACTGTTTGGATTTTTCATAAGCATGAATAATTGTGCCACCATAAACACAAACCAGACAAAAAAAAAACTGAAAATAAGCAAAAGGAAATATATTGAGCTAACCTGAGTGGGTTTTGAGATTTTTTTTTTCTTCTCAGTTTTGCTTTTCTGTGTTGCTGAACATCTCAACAATAGGCATATATTACTTGAAACATTTTGGTAAGATGTGTACTATATAATAAAATGAAAACATGTTTGATGGGAGATGTCATTCTGTAAATATGTTTCTCTTATTGGTTAATGAATAAAGCACTGTTGATCAATAGGAAAGCAAGATAGGCGGGACTAGGAGAGAGGAAGAAGTAGGGAGGAGAGTCAACATGGAGGACGGAGAGAGTAGAATGCTGGGCCCTCTCTCTGGTAAGATAAGACCATGTGGAAATATTTAGATTAATAGAAATGGGTTAATATTTAAGACAGAGCTATCAGATAAGAAACTAGTAACTGGTTAACAGCATTATATTGAATACAGAGTCTCGGTGTGTTACTTGGGGCTGTTGCAGGGGTGGGACCAGAATAGCAGGGAAAAACTACTCATAACACGTGGTAACCTTTTCATTTAATACATAAGGAAGTCAATGGCCTTCACTTTCACCACTCACTGTCCAACTTTTGCTCACTCAGTGTCAGAATACTTTTAGTCGCTATAAGGAAAAGAAAAAAAATCCTAGAAATATGTTGAAGGAGAAAGTGGTGAACCAGCAAAATGGCTCAGCAGGTAAAGGCACTTGCCAACAAGCCTGGTACCCAAAGTTAGATCACCAGAGCTCATATGGTGGAAGAGCACCACTCCTGAATGTTGTCCTTTGAAGTCCACATGTGCTAGAGTAGATAAAAGGAGTTAAATCAACAAATAACAAAAACAAAAAAAACAAGCTATACTTAGATGTGAAAACTAGTAATTTTATTTATATTGCTTCTTTTATTTTTGAGATTATACTTACATCATTTCCCCTTTCCCTTTCCTCCCTCCAAACCCTTACTCTCTTTCAAATTCATGGGCTCATTTTTCAATTGTTGTTACATGTATACAAAACTATTTTAAAAGATGTAACTTCTTCACAGATGAGTATAGAGATTTCAGGTTCATTATCATAGCTTACATAAAACCTTCCTATTTATAATTTTCAAGTGTGTGTGTGTGTGTGTGGGCGCGCGCGCGCACCGTGCACACATCTGAACACATACATGTGGAGGCCAGAGATCAATGTCAAGTATTTCTCTCTAACACTCCTATTTTTCATCTCAAACTTTACATTTTTATTTAAAGGATAGCCAGAAAAAAACCTAGTAAGACAGAGAGTCACTATCAATTTTATTTAAAAACTAGGAAGCAAACTGGACAAAATAAATAATTTAAACTTACAATATCCCACTATCACATTAATAATACAGGAATGGGTTAAATGTATTAAAATGTTAATAATGGTAATATGTAGGTTTTTGTTTTCCTATCTTAGAGTCTTTCTGATATTTTTAATTTCCATAATGATATATGTATATAATTTTAATGATGATAGAAAAAGCAGTAAGTTTTCCTTTTAACCTCAAACAGGAAATTAACAATAGGAATGAAATGATAAATTGGAGAGGGGAAAATAACCAATAAAAACATGCAAATGTAAACCTGGCCTACCATTTGTAAATGGCACTTACAAATAATAAAGCTTTTTCATGTCTGAAATTGGCAAATGTATTTAAAAGGGCTATTTTCCAAGGGAGTATTCCAGCTTTCAAGAGAGCAGAAAACACCCATTTCTGTTTCATTAAAACACAAAGGATAAAGAAAAAGGAGTTGGTTTTTAGTGTTGCTTTGCTACCACCCACAGGCAATTATACAAACTACAACTAAGAAATTATTCTCTTGCCCTGAAATTCACATTAGTAGTGGATTCCATGCACATTCCCAAACACACACACAAACAGAAGAAATTTAAGAAAATTAGCATGCATTAAGACTCTGCCTGTAGCTACAGGAGTAAAATGGAAATAATGAGTGGGGAATTCTTTTGCAAACGATTAGTTCTCAAATTAATGCATAGGGAATCCAGATGAATGTAAACACATGTATCAAAGTACAGGAGCCTAGATTGCATATTGGGCCATGTAACAAATTCTATGAGTTATAAAACAATGGAAATCATATGGAATAGATTACCTTAGCATAACGGATTTATCTAGAAAATATTAGAGTAAGAGATTCCCAGACTCCACAGTCAGTTGTGGGTCTCTGTGTTAATCACCATCTACTGAAAATAGAAGCTTTTCTCATGAGGGTCCAAAGAGTCATTACTATAGTAGTATGCCAGCTTAGTATTGTGTTCATGTAGCTATACATATGAACTCACAGTGTGTGTGACAGCATGCCAAAGACTTGTGCAACCCAAAACTAGACTAGATCCCAGCAAGGAGAGAGAAGGTGGACCCATCACTACCGGAGAAGCTATTGGTAATTAATAACAAGTTGCTAGAAAAGTCAAATTCAGTTTTATGTAAGAATGTAGCTGCTGTTAAGTCAACCATGCTCCAGTGGAAATGACACATCCAAGAATATTTGGGTTTTCACAAATTGGACTTGATCTTTTTTTAAGGACACATAATTGGATAAATAGTGAAGTGGGGACATAGGAGTTGGAGAAGAGGGTAAAAATGATCAAAACATGTATGAAATACTTAAATAACTAATTAAAAATATATTTAAGCCGGGCATTGTTGGCACACACCTTTAATCCCAGCACTCAGGAGGCAGAGGCAGGTGGATCTCTGTGAATTCAAGGCCAGCCTGGTCTACAGAGTTAATTCCAGGACAGCCAGGGCTACACAGAGAAACCCTCTCTCAAAAAACCAATAAATATAAATTATATATATTTAAAAGAAACCTGTTTCATTAAACATAATACACAATAATTTTAAAAATATAAACAGAAAATGAAAAGAAATTCTACAATTTAAAAGTACAGCAACTGTACTAATTTGGGGGTGACTACAACACAGGCAACACTTAAAATTCTATTCTAAATGAAAGACGCTAAACAAAAGGTCATGTATTATAAAACTTCCATTTATCTGGTATATCTAAACTAGGTAAGTCCACAGAGAAAAAGAAGAAAATCAATACTGGGTTTCTTTCTCTGTGGTAATTGAAATGTTCTATTAGTGGTAAGAGCAATACAAGGTTGATACTTACCTTACATGTAAGAGATACCATGATCATGAAGGTGCTTTTCCCAGGGCTAGGCTCATCCACTGTACTCTAGATGTGCTGACCCCTGTGATTTCTCCAAATGAGGGAAACTCAACTGCATAATTTGTGGTAATTTGAAGACTGCATTCATACTCTCCCCTAAAAAAAAAGAAAAAAAGAAAAAAGGGGAGAAATACAAGGCTGTATGTATACTAAAAACAACTGATTACTACCTATTTACGCAATGGATTCTACGGTAAATATATTCTCAATAAATGGAATGGTTAACTTGTTTTCTTAAAGCAACAATAACAAATGTGATGAGAATGCAGGGGGTTGGATCACTCATACACTGTTGATAAGAGTGTGAAATGGCCCAGTAGTTCTGCAAAAATATTTGTCAGATTCTTATGTAAAAAAACAAAACAACAACAACAACAAAAACACTAAACTAAACACATACCAATGATACAACACTGCCATTAAACCTTTAGGCATTTACTTCATAGATTTTTTTTTTTTAAAGCTTATGTCCACACAAAAATCTATACACAAATGTTCATGACAACTCTATCTTTAAGAGCTCTGTACCAGAACCCACAGATTGCTTCAATAGGTGAGTGACTTCTAAAACTGTGGTATAGCCATACCATGAAATGCTACTTAGAACTACTTTCCATCTCTTGATTCCATTTATATAACTTTTTTGTTGTTATTATTTTGTTTGTTTATTTTTCGAGACAGGGTTTCTTTGTGTAGCCCTACTGTCTTGGAACTATTAGACCAAGCTGGCTTCAAACTCACAAATGCCTGCCTCTGCCTTCTTTCTGAGTGAGTGCTGGGATTAAAGGTGTGCACCACCACCACATTTTATATGCACAACACATAAAAAAATGTTCCCCATTTTTAAATTGGACTTTATAACTTTTTACTAGCAATCAGATTTGGCTTTGACAGTAAGAACATTTCACACATGTCCATTTTTCATACCGACGACAGTAACCTCTACCCTTTCCCGTCTCCCAAATCAATAGTGTCTACCCCATTTCTTCCCTACAAATCTTTCTCACATTCACATATACTGGGTTTGTTTTGTAATCTATTGAGTGCAAACAGGACCACCTGTGTGACCATGGATATGAAGTTATGTGTTGCAGCCTGGTGGTCTCACCAGTGGATACATAACTGAAGACAAGGTGTGGTCCTCTCTCTAAACTCTGTCAATAACCAATAGTTCAGCACTAAAGGGGAGAGGCCCATGAACCCCTCCTCCTACTATGACAGTTGACAGGGCCAGTCTTATGTAGGCTAAATCTAAGCAATTACTGTTGTTGTAAATTCATCATTGCAATGGTTATATTGAGTCTAAAGGATGGAACTTTGCAGCCTTACCTTCCAACTCCTAGTTTCTACCTCTTCTGCAGTATTTTCTGAGTGTTAAACAACAAAGGAATCACTTCTCCACATCCATGTCAGCATTTGTTGCTACTTGTATTCTTGATGATAACCATTCTGACTAATGAGATGGGATTTTTTTTGGAGGGAGGGGAGCAGGGGAGGAGAGGGGATTTGAGACAGGGTTTCTCTCTGTATCTTTGGAACCTGTTCTGGCACTCGCTCTTGCAGACCAGGGAACCCACAGAGATCCGCCTGCCTCTGCCTCCCAAATGCTGGGATTAAAGGTGTGTGCCACCAGTACCCAGTGGAGATGGGATCTTAAAACAATTTTAATTTCTATTTCCCTGATGGCTAAGGATGTTGAATGATTTTTCCATGTATATGTTTCCTAGCCATTGGTAGTACTAAACTATTTAATTCTATAGAAAAATTTTAATTGGGTTGTTGATTTTCTTGATGTATAGTTTTTTTACCAGGAGAGGTGGTCTTCCTCAGAAAAGAATACACTGATTTGCTGTCCAGTGCCAACTAGTCAGCCCTGAAAAGAGAAATAAAAAATTTCAATTTAATAGAATGTAGGTTTTTAAAGGTATATTCCTATGATTTTCTGAATTTCATTTGTATCTGTTGTAATGTCGCCCCTTTGTCTCTAATTTTATTTGTTTGGTTTTGGCTAATTTGGTTAGAGGTCTGCTAATATTATTTAATTTTTCAAAGAACTAACTCTTCATTTCATTGATTCTTTGTAGTTTTTCATTTCTAGTTCATTAATTTCTTCACTGCTCTTAATTTTTTCTCTCCATCTTGGGATTTGGATTGTTTTTGTTTTTCCAAAGCCCTCAAGTACACAATTAAGTTGTTATTTGAGATCTTACAAATTACTGTATTTTTAATATTTTAAAACTTAAGCTGTTATCAGAAACTGAAACTAAATTAAAAAAAAAAATCACACACTAAAATTTACCAGATCCAAAAGTTATAAAACTCCCTAAATTTCTATATAGTTAGAGCAGCCATTTGAAAAGGAAGCTGTGGAATGTCAAACTGATTTATACTTTCACTAGTAGAACAGAGAGCGCCAATGCTTAGGCCTCAGGCTTTTGTGGGATCAGAGTGTACCTGTGACCAGGACTGCACTCCAGTGGCTTCGGGTGTGAGTGCAGGGCCTGTGCTTTGCCTCCAGTGTGCCCAGTATCCCCTAAGAGACAAGTGTTGGTTCCAGTAATCCTGGGGTTGTTATGGGTGTGGGATTGATTTCTATGGATTCAGTACAGGACCTGGAGTCTATACTACTGTAGTTCCAGAAGCTATTTTGGGCCTGTGGCTCTAACCACAGCCCCAGATAGTGGACAGAGTTCACTGGGTCTAAAATTTGGTATCCTGTCTCCAGCAGGTTCATATAATTCAAGAAATGACCAAAGTTTTGGTCCTACTGGCACATAGCCAAGATGAGCCCATTTCAACAACCCATTCAATATCCATCACCAAGTTCCACTAGTCCCCTTAACTGAACTTCATCCAGATACTCCTCTAGGCAGAAAAGAGAATACCGTAAGAGGCTTGGAAGAAGAAGAAAGTCAAAAGGAATCCACTTCAACAAATGCATAAAACACAACAAAGCAGCATTAAAAAAAAAAAAAAAAAATGACACGAGCACCACCTATGGCCCGTGACCAACAGATGAACTTCCTTATGAGGGGGATCCTAAATTATGGAGATAACTGAACTGAGAATTTGAACTTATTGTTCAAAAGAAGTAATGATCATATGGAAGAGTTACACAAACAGATGCATGAATTAAGGCCATCTATCTAAGACCTGGAAAAGGTACCCATTAGTAAATTGGAGATATAAGTCCAAAATATTGAGGAAAAATTTAGAAATGACATTGAAACCCCGAAAAACAACCAAACATAAATAACCCTTTCCTCTCCAAGTTGCTTTTGGTCATGGTATTTTACCACACCAGAAAGCAAACAAGGATAATGTCGATCCAAGACCTTCTGGCTTTTGAAGTTTCATTGAATAATATGCAGTTTTTGGATGGGTTTGCCTTTATATTTTTACTCTCCCCACCCCCAGTTTTCAATAGCTCCCTTTTTTCTTTCTCTGCTTTAGCTTATAAACTGGGAGGTATTTATGTTTTGTTTTTAACGTTTTTATTCTCTGTGGCTTTCACGTCATATATCTTGATCCCATTCATCTCCCCACTTCATACATAGCTCTACCCCCTGCCCTTGCAATGCCCCCCCAATACAATAAAGGAAAATTTAAAAGGAAAAAAGAAAAATCTCGTCATGGAAGGAAGCTGTAGTGTGACACAGTGAACTACACAGCATACCCTTTCTTTAGTCCATGTATCTTTACTTGTAAGTGTTCACTGCAATGAGTCATTGCTCTGGTTTGAGGCTTCTGCTACATCATCAATACTGGGCCTTCACTGGGACTCCCTGGATATTTTGTTGTTACCCTGTGTCGTGGAGACCCTGCAGTTCTGCATCTACAGGATGGGCCCCTTCATGTGCGCCAGCAAATCATACACATAGGCCAACCCATAGCCCTGGTTCTGGGCCTGGGTAGTTGCAGGGTTATTCTGCCTGCCAGTTCTACACCATCTTCACCACCAGGGTGAGCCCTCCAGCACCACACCAAGCTAATTCACCCTATGCAGCAGGCAGCAAGGGACAGGGGCAGGTTCTGCTTTTATGCCCTCAGGGCTGGCTCACTAACACCTATACCACCAGGGCCAGCTCTACTGTGTTGGCCAGGCAGTATGGGGCTACTTTCTAGAGTGCTGCAGCTGGCGAGGACAGGGCAGCTCTCCCACTCTCATGACCTCAGGGCCAGTTCTCCCCACAGGAGATAAGGGCTCCCCCCACCACCACACCCTCTCCCCTCTCCCCCCACCATAGGGTTGAGGTTTATGTTCAACTGATTTGGAGTGCTCCCTCTACCTTGTCTTCAAAGCCCTGACATTTTTTTATGTGTTCCAATCTGTTGTTGACACATTCCATTGAGCTTTTTAGCAGACTTTTAAAAGTTCATTTGTTATTTTGTTTCAGTGTTGTTTTTGTTTGTTTTGGTGTTTCTATCTTTACTGAATTCAATTTTCATATCCTGAACTATACTCATTGTTTTGTTTAGCTGTTTATGTGGCCTTCCATTATTTCTTCCTGTTATCTTTAAGCTCATTCTTGTGGCTATTTGTGCCCTCTCTGAATGCTTTGAAATTGTTGAACATGTTTATAATTGTCTTTTAGAATTCTGTGTCTTGAATTTCTTCTAACTTATTCTCTTTAGGGAACATTACTAAGAAATTGAATGGATATTAGTTTAGTTTATCCAGTTTTTGAGCTGTAACCTGGATGTCTGGATTTACAGTGTTATTTGTGATTTGGCATGGGTTTTTAATCCACCAGGCCAGAATCCCAAAGTGGAATTGTGGGCTAGGTAGCTTGGGGGACCCTTGAGAGAGCATAATAAAAGGTCTGGAGTTTGGGTGGGGACAAGGTCTAGTACACAGTCTAAGTGGAGTGGCTATGGAACACCAGGCCAGAGGCCAATGGCTCAAAAGCTGGCATGGGATTCACTTACTGGGGCCTGGGCAGGGTGACTGCATGGGGTGGCTGTGGTGCACAGGACCAGATGTGGAGCGTGCCAGGGGTCAGGGTAGGTAGGGGTGGGTCACTTTCCCAGCCTGAGCCAGAGCAGCCTTGTGGAATAGCTATGGTGCACTGCAGTGGAGACAGAGCCAGTCAGGGGCA